AAATCAATTTTGTTCGATTTTTCTTCTTTATACGATTCTTCAATAATTTTTGAATATAATACTTGTTTTTTTTTTAAATTTATTTATTTATTTTTTAAGTTTTAATTAAAGTAGGTACTCAAAATAACAATATTAAATATTTGCTCGACGAACTCTTTTTTCCGGTTGAACACTCCCGTTTGTAGTAAACTGCTTGACTGTACGGTGAAATGAAGTACGTGATCGAATTTTATCCGGAAAACGCTGAGCGTAGATATTAACAGCATCATCAAGATTCCTGCCTGCTTCTCTATAAATCAAAATCATTTCTATTTTTTCTTCCACTGTTAAAAAATCCATTATGAATAACTGCTTAACGAAAGGAGGTCTTTTTGTTTGCAAATTAATCTTCGAACTAAATTGATTAAATAATGCTAAACTTGGTATAAATAGTTTCTTTATACCTCAATAATAATTATTATTTATAACTAAATGCCATTTTTTTATACCTTAATTAGGATTAAATTAATTAAAAAAATACAAAATAATGTTTTTTTACCTTAAATGAGGTATTTTTCTTAAAAAATAGTACAATAATCCTTTAAATTAAAGGATTTAATGCTGGCAGGTAAAAAGTGACCATGGTGCGCAATTGATAATTATCACCGAACCAAAGGAAATTTAAATATTAGTTAAAAAATCGTGGGTACTTAAAAAAATCAGTTTTAATTTAATAAGTTATTATTACCAAAAAAAGTGATATTTTTATAGAAAAATTATCGCAGAATCGTATAAGAAGAAAAACGAGTAGTAGTTTTAATTAATAATCTGTAAATAATTAAAATATTACAATAAAAAGTATGTAATAACCTTAAAACGTGTTTTTAATAACTAAAGTATGTAGGTGAGTAACGCAATGGATTTAGTTATTTAATGTACATATAAAATGCATTATGGCATCGAGAAGCATCTTTTGTTTGCATTCAAAGTACCTACTACGATCATTTTTTGTGAAAGCTCTCGATACATGTAGCAAAAATCATTAACCCCAATTTCTCCTAAAAAAAAGATAACTATATTTAAATTATTTCGCAGGTTCAACAATATCTTGTTAGTTTTATTGTCAGCCAAATAAATTTGACACTTTGTTTTGTAATCATGTAATAAAATATGTAAAATAGGTAAATTAATTAGTGTTGGATTATTAATTATTGACGATTTTATGGTTCAGTTCAGTAAAGAGAATTGTTTTGGGAATATTTAGTGTAAAACATACAATATTAGGTATTATTAATAACTGTATTTTATTGTTCCTTTAATGCCTAGTAATTACTTTCTAATTTTAATTTTTAAGGAATTTCATTGTCTATAACATAAATTTTAATTTGATTATAACAAAAAAAAATTAAATATTTATTTATGCGGCTCCTTTAAAACCTGTAAAATTTTACAACTGTTTATGCATATTTAATAGTCCTCCTGACCTATACTAACAATTTGATGTTTCTACTTTTGTAAATAATTTTAAATACTTAATTAAGGGCCGTATACAGAAACGTTGATTTATTTATATCAATATCAATTTCTATACATTGACATTTTAGTTTTTTAGTCACGGGCTGAAGTTAGTTTTAAGTTAGTTGACAATTGTCAAATGTCATACAATCGTTTAAATAAAGTGCCTTTCTTGTAAAATAATACTAACTGTGAAAATTATTTTTTTATCTCAATACAAAAATACAAAAGTATTAAATAGTTTCTCAACGCCAATATTTGAAAAGTTTATATGAACATTGTACTGACCTTTTAATTTCGCCGGCAGTAAACTATAACTTAAATTCGGGCACGGACTCCACTGTAAAGTGCTCATAAAACATTTTCTTTACTTTCACTGTGAAAAACTGTCAATTTTCAAGAAATACATTTCGATTTATAACCTTTATAATTGTGTTTATAAAATGTAAAAATGTGACATTTGACGGTTACACACAGATTCCCCTATTGTTTCATGGATGGCGCTCTATACAAATTTTTGATTTAAATCATTTTAAGTCATTTAAAATTTGCTATGTTGCCAAATTGGTTCAAAATTTAATCAGCGGATATGCGTAAATCAGTTGATATAAATAAATCAGCGTTTCTAAATCGTGTCCCAAATAGTGTTAAATACGCTTCTAAAATTTTAAATGACAATATTTAATGTTGAAATTTCTTTGGCGAGGTTAGATTTATTATAAATATCAAAAAACTTGACCTAAGCACCTAGTAATGTTTGAATAAAAATAAAATAAAAATGTCTTGTGAAATTTATGTGAATAAAAAATAACAATACCTATTACCCATTTCATGGCATTCCTAGAAGATGAGTAGACATTGTGTAATTTTTTTAAATCCCAAAAAATGTTTTACTTTTAATACATTTAAATTGACTCCATCGTAACTAAATAAATTAGCATACAATGAAACAGTATGTCGAGATCATTTATCAGTAGGTTGAAATATTGCTATTATTAACTAAAGTACCTCACTAATTTGTCAAAATTATGTTTACTTTTTTGCGAAAAAATAACCCACTTTCTTTCTTTAATTAAATGCATAGACACCATCATTTGTTTATAATCGCATGTCCCAATGAATGTAACGACAAAGTAATATTTTTTTTTTTTTTGATTAATTAGGCCTGAAATCTTTACAAACAAAATTAAGTAATATTATTTTATACAAAACAATGCTTACGTAATTATATAATGTGTTCATCCTTAGGTGAAGGTAATGCAAACAAATTAATTAAGCATATGTCTTGGAAATTTACAAGAAATATTATGTTAAAATTTGCAAATCACCTTGTTAAATTTCACATGAAAACCTTTTACCTTTCTCCAGGTACTAGATCATCAGTCATATGCCATATTTCACAGCAATAATTTATTTATTAATTAATTTATTTAATACAAAAAAGTATTACCTAACGTGTTTTTTCGCGGGCACGAAAATGACAGATTGGTAAAACTTTGTAACTGCTTTTAAGTAGACTCTACTATAACCTTATTTTTTCTTAAATAAAATTGTGCTGACTTTACAACTTTTATTAATTAAAAGTTATAATAAAAAAACAAATTGTGTAATTTTGTAGATGAGCAAAAATATTTCAAAGAAATGTGTGCTTGTCCTTGACACTTCGTGTAATGAAGTAGTTCGCAATTTTAAAATGTTATTTACTATTAGGCAATAGGTATTTTTTAGTAGGTGTTATTTGTCAATAATACGATAATAGCTATATCATAAATAGGTGCTAGGACCATAAATATTAGTAAGGCAATAAAAATCTTTAATAAATTGTATTAGGCTTCTGAAAAAAATAAGAATGTCAATTTAAAAACTGTAATTATTCTTTTACGATGCATAATAAATTTAACTAAATCATAGTTTATTTTTGGTTGTTTCACTGTTAGTCTAGAATGGGGTTTTTGGGAAGCCACCAGGTCTAGTAATAACATAACATAAGTGGTTCTGCACTAATGCAAGAATTTTAAGAAATCACACATTTTGAAAATTAACGCTTCACGGAGGATAGCTTCACGGAGGATAGGATTTTGTATGTTTTTTTAAACATCCCTTTGTATATTTGAAATAAGTTATTGTATCTTTTGACACCTTAATATTTTTAAAAAATACAATTGTACATACATAAATATTTATAAAAAAATCTACTTACTGAAATATTACACTTCACGGTGGATAGGTTTTTAAATAGCAAATTAATGAACTTAAACTTTTGAATTATAAAACAGCAACACTCTCATCTGCATGTACATTCTTACTGACCTTCAGGAATCACATACATCTTTAATGTCGTAAACAGAGGTTTTTGCTTATTTAAAATGATTAAAGCGCCATCCGTTGCATAAAATTTAAAGCATAAACAGATTCACGGAGGATAGATTCAATTTTTGTAACACCTACATAAATGGTTATAAAAATTATTTCTTTTAATTCTTAATAATATTTTATATTTGATTTGATTGCTTTGGATGTGTTTAATTTACTTAGTGAACTGATATTTTTAGTTTGCTTTTACCACCTCAGATGTTTGAAAATATATAGGTTAACCTAGAAAGAGTAAAACATTGTAAGAAATAATTAATTCACCCAATTATTAACACAAACAATATTCATTTACATATTATAAAAAGTGTAAATATTTGACACTTAAATGTATAAAATTTTGAAGATATTTCTACTAACAAACTAAATAAACAAATACTGCTTATTATGCAGTATTAGGTGCTTTTAAGTAAATAAAATTTTTATTCTTTTTCTAGAAAATTATTTTTTAATGGTAACCCAGCTTTTCTTAATACAGGGTAATTTAAAATTACAAACTATTAAAAAAAGTGTTTTCAAAATACTAACTTATCTTTTATTCATCATTTTATAGGTCGTTTGTGTATTTATATACATTTCTTTATAATATTAGGTATGTGTAGATAATAAGATTTTCACTTAATAATAACTTCCTATAGCAGTAAATTATTTCTTTTAAGTTTTATCAAAAAATTGCTACAAGATTTTTTAATGTCATAATTACAAAATTATGTCGCTTTGTTATTGCGTAACAAAACGTATAAACAGTTTTATGAAAATTATCCAAGATTTCACTTTATTGTATCTGCACTTAGAAGACATAATTGTGGAAACAATGAGTAACACATACACTTAAAATAAGATCGGCACACAACACAAAAAGAAAAGTGCATTGTTACATATAAAATAAAAACAAACTCGGTGTAGGTACGCTCCAGTAAAACTAAGCCGTGTTGATCTGTTGAAAATGGGACATAAATCGTACTTTACCTTAATATAAAATTAATACTTCGATTGGGAAGCGTTTTTTCGTTGTATTTTGCCCACCCCACCCAAAGAAAGCGATCTCCCAACTCTTCTACACTATGACCGGATTTTGGGGGAAAGCAATGCAAAATGTCCAACATATAAAATACGGGGACTGCGGCAAAGTCTTTAGTACACATTCAGCGTTTCAACGCAGTCCATCCCTTTAAGTCGGGGAACACAACCAAGATGAAGTGTTGGGCATTCCTGGTTAGTGGACATTTTGTATTTGCATTTCTTTACAAGGACTTTTTTGCAGTGATTTAACAAGTGATTTGTGCATTTTGTGGATTATGCTGCCCTACTTTTATTAACCCCATTTTATAGATTTAATTAACATCATTTACAATGGAAAAATATTCCTAATTTTTTGCAAATATTTTTAACATTTTCTGCATTTACATTTTTAACTATTTTACTACTACTATTTTTCATCTGTAGTATTACTAAAATCTTGTTATCAACATGTTTTACCTCTCTGTTATCTTCAATAATTTACCATGGTTACAATACATCCAATTAACTTGGCTAACATTTTAAAAATCATGTAAATATTTCCCAAATATTTTAAAGACAACCAATGTAACATTTTTAGTTTTATCATGGTCTTCAAAGTTTTATTATGGTCTTCAAGAACGCTTTAAAACAATTTTGTTTTAAAGCGTTCTTGAAGACCATAATAAAACTAAAAATGACACTTTTTCGTTTTATTTTTTCAAGGTAATCCTAGGGTGCACATTTGCTGTCCCGTCCCATAGCGCCTCAGTTAGTCTCTCGCGCTCTAAAAGATCCCACCATGAACCAGAAGGTTACTGGAGCAAAAAACTGACGTGGAAGACCGAGTGGGTGAAAGCTTGGAAGACCGAGAAGAAACTGGTCTGGAAACCTGACTGGAAAAAGATCCAGGTTCCCGCCTGGAAAGAGATCCAGGTGCCGATCTGGAAAGAGATTCAGGTGCCGGACTGGAAGGTCGTGAGCAAGCCCATCTGGAAGGAAATCCAAGTTCCCGCCTGGAAGGAAATTCAAGTACCGGACTGGAAGGAAATTCAAGTTCCCGCCTGGAAGGAAATTCAAGTACCGGACTGGAAGGAAATTCAAGTGCCAGACTGGAAGGAAATTCAGGTTCCGGCGTGGAAGCAAATTTGGAAACCCATCTGGGTGGAGACCCAAGTACCCGCGTGGAAGGAGATCCAGGTCCCGGACTGGAAGCAAATATGGGTGCCGGAATGGGTCAAGGTTGGGATACCTGGAGAGCACTATCTGGGCAAGGATCACCACGGCAGCGAATACACCGCACACGACTTGTGGAAGAAGAAACTCATCTGGAAGCCTCAATGGAAGAAGATCTGGCGGACGGAGAAGAAGCAAATTTGGGTGCCGTCGAAGAAAATGGAGTGGAAGGCCGAATGGAAGCAAATCTGGAAGACGGAGAAAAAACAAATCTGGAGAACCGAGAAAAAACAAATCTGGAGAACAGAGAAAAAACAAATCTGGATCCCGAAGAAGGAGCAAATATGGAGGACGGAGAAAAAACAGATATGGATTCCGAAAAAAGAATTGGCATGGAAACAAGAGAAAGTACAAATCTGGAGAACAGAAAAGATCCAGAAATGGGTGACGGAGAAAAAACAAATCTGGAAAGACGACTGGAAGCAAATCTGGGTACCGATATGGAAAACCAGAGAAGTCCCAGTTTGGAAAAAGGTATCCACCCCAGTCTGGGAGAAGGTGTGGGTGAAAGTACATCACCACCATGGCTGGGACTGATTTAGATAACGCTCAAAAAACCTTAATGTTTCTGTAAATATTCTCTTTTCTTCCCTTTCTTTTCTTAGTACAAATGTTTGTATATAACAGGTACGCCAGTGAGTTTCTTCCATTATTTTATAAGCTTTTGTATAATTGTATTATTTGTTATATTTTTGTTGTATTTTTAAGTATCAAAATAAAAAAATTAAATACCCACCACGCATTTTCAATTAAAGGTTAGCTGCTCTTCACTTTCACTAATTTTACATAACGGATTAGACGCCACACAATAACTACAATAACCGTTGGTAGGAGCGCGAAAAACGCTTCATTACTTTCACTAGGGCGGAAAGATCAAGGATGAGAACTTCAAATTTTTCAAACAATGCACTTTCTAAGCCCGTCGGTTCCGCTATTATAATAACTTCAGAAGGACGAGTAAATTTTCTTGGGACATCGCAGCGTTTCCCAATACAATTCTTTTAAACACCCAAGCGCTTAAAAAGGCAAACAATGTGTAAACAACCGATAAACATGTGGGATTCCGTAATTACGTTTGAATTAGGTTTGCGTCTTACGCAATACGGGAAATGCAGCATCAAAATTATTTAGCTCTTCTATCTTCTGCTGGAGAAATCAATGCCCAGAAGATCGTGTGTTATGTTTAGGAATTCAATTTTTTGCATTGCGCTGAATAAGGAGTTTCTGATCATACAGTTTTAGTATTCAACTACTATTATGATTATTAAATATGATTAATGCAAATTAATCAAGTTTCTATTTTTTAAATATTATAATATAAGAAGAATATAAATAATAATTTTTTCTGTTGGAAATTAACTTTTTTATTTCACCATTTTGAATTAAAATAAAGTAAATATCATAAATATAAAATATTATTTAAAATTAAAAGAAATAATTTTTATAACCATTTATGTGGGGTTACAAAAATTGATTCTATCCTCCGTGAATCTGTTTTTGCTTTAAATTTTATGCAACGGATGGCGCTTTAATCATTTTAAATAAGCAAAAACCTCTGTTTACGACATTATAGATGCATGTGATTCCTGAAGGTCAGTTAGAATTTATATGCAGATGAGAGTGTTGCTGTTTTATAATTCAAAAGTTTAAGTTCATTAATTAGCTATTTAAAAACCTATCCACCGTGAAGTGTAATATCTCACAAAGTAGATTTTTTTAATAAATATTTTATTGCATTTTTAAAAAATATTAAGGTGTCAAAAGATACAATAACTTATTTCAAATATACAAAGGGATGTTTAAAAAAACATACTAAATCCTAACCTCCGTGAAGTTCTAATATTCAAAATGTATGATTTCTTAAAATTCTTGCATTATTGCAGAACCAGTTATGTTATGTTATGACTAGACCTGGTGGCTTCCCAAAAACCCCATTCTAGACTAACAGTGAAACAACCAAAAATAAAAAATAATCATTTTCACTTTAACTAAAAAACTTCAAAAGAGTTTATTAAAGACAAACATTTCTTGTATTATTATGATAAAATATCTTTAAGGTACATTTCAAAGCATTCGTAAATTACCTATACAAAAGATTTTTTTATTATTATTTTATGTTAAAAATAAATTTTCTACAATTTAACGACTCATTATTAACAATTATTTTACAACCTCTCAATAGTAAGTAATAGTTTTGTTAGTTATATTACCAATTATTTAATATTTATGATCGTTGGTTTATTATTAAATGTTTTTGGTGAAAATTTAAATTTATATGATAATTACTTATTGTTAATAATTTATTATGTATAAATAAAGGATTTACCAATAAGTTCATATTTTACAGTATATTATTTTATCCATGGTTGTTTAATTTTTATAAAGTTTTTAACACATTTTCATATACCTATTTCACAGTACAGTAATTTTAACGTGTAAAAAGTAACAATTGTTGTGATTTATATCATCATGAGTGGAACATTTTAGATTTAGTATTTTAGATATTAAACTTTCATCTTAAAGCAACAGTTTAATTTTAAATAATAAAAAACGAATTTTATTTCATAAGTGAGAAACAAAGTGTATATTATACAGTGTATAAATAATAATAATAATAAAACATAAATTCAAAACATCATATAAGTATGTATGTATGCTAAATTGGTAAAAAATACAATTATATGTATTCTGAGTTGCCTATAGTTAAAGATCTAATTTTATTTTACTTATTTTCTAAAGTTGTTTTAAAATTTTTAAATATTTCTAATGGAAAATATACTCGGAAGACTTTTATGCCAAATGTGTTTTTATTATTTTGATTTATTTGTTTGTATAGGTAGTATTTTAAAGAATGAAAATGTTTTTAAAAAAGTACAATTTTTATCATAAGAACCTTTTGAAATATATTTTTAAAATTATAAAACAAATTTAATTAAGTTTTATCAAGATTACCCTTTTATTTCTTTATTTATATTAAACAAAGTTCATCGTATTTTTTAATTTTACAGTGCCAAATATCGATTTTTGAAAGATTAGCAATTCATTTTCAATTTCTACAGCCGAATCAATTTCATTTATTGTTTCTTGTGAAATAGAAACTGCTATTAATACCTATTAATTCTAACATTATCTATCCGAATTATTACTACAAACTTTGTATTACAAAGACAATGGTATAAAAGCAAATATGAAGGGAATTAAATAGAAAAGAAAACTTACAGGAAAGGAATTCTTCTTTTTCTTGGAACTTAAACAATACAGCTAAAAATAACAACATGTCTCTTCGAAGGCACTATCATTGATTTTAAAAAGGCACTACAAAAACGTATACGTTATTTTTTGAATCAAATCTGTCAAAATTTTGTACATAATAACCAACAAAACAAAACTAAAATACCAACCATAATAAATAAATAACTAAAAACGAGCCAAATTGTTTAAAACTTGATGAAGAATGAAAAGATTAGCAAATGAATTGCGTTTTGAAAACAACCTTCTCATATACTTTATATTAAAGCATTGAGTAAAGAACTTCTTTACTCAATGATTATAGCATGTAATATATTATGTATTATGTATTATAGGTATAATAAACTTTTACTGTAATGTTGGTTGCATATGAGTAAAACCTAACAAGAAATTTGTATCCACAGTTTTTTTAATATATTTTAATTTTTAATTTGTTTTTCAATCAAAATAGGTACCAATTTACAACCTTTTTTAAACAGTTAAATTTAAAAAAAATGAACATGTCCAATTTTTCAAATACAATTTTGTTACCATTTTTATAATTCTGGCCAATAACTTTTCTAGGGTAGGTAATTGTGGAAACATTCATAGGTATCTATTTTGTTAATCAAATACTTTAACCGAGGATTATTGCTAATGTAGCTATGGGTTGAAATTAAACTAAAAAAATAAATTATACACATTCATAGTTTTTCTTTTTAAAAAGTGTATTCTTAAGGAAATACTGTATTACGAATATTTTTTGTCAAATTTTAATGCAATTTACAAAATTTGGTTGCTTCATCCAATTTATTCAGTTAAAATTTTACCTAAAATTAAATTGTCATTTTAATTTTGTCGGTACTAAACTAGATTTAACTGATTAACCATTAAAATTTTGGTTCTGCACTAATGCAAGAATTTTAATACATTTTGAATATTAGAGCTTCACGGAAGATAGCTTCACGGAGGTTAGGATTTCATATGTTTTTTTAACATCCTTTTAACAAAAAAATAAGTTATTGTATCTTTTGACACTTTAATGTTTTTAAAAAATACAATGGTAGGTACATACAGAATATATTTATAAAAATCTACTTTTTAAATAGCAAATTAATGAACTTTTGAATTATAAAACAGCAACACTCTCATCTGCATATAAATTCTAAATGACCTTCAGGAATCTCATGCATCTATAATGTCGTAAACAGAGGTTTTTGCTTATTTAAAATGATTAAAGCGCCATCCATTGCATAAAATTTAAAGCAAAAACAGATTTACGGAGGATAGAATTAATTTTTGTAACACCTACATGAATGGTTATAAAAATTATTTGAAAACATATACGTTAACCTAGGAAGAGTCACGGAGGATAGGTTTTAGACTTTTAAAACATTGTACAAAATAATTAATGGCGGTTAAAAATCTGGAACCTGAGCTGTAATATCTATTTGTGTTACCAGTGTAATTTATATACATTTGTAATAACAATTAATAATTATGTAAATGATGAATAATTTACACACTCAATGAACTATTGATACCTAGGCATAACATGTTCGATTAAAATAACTATTATTTTAATAAAAATAATCAACTCCTACCAAAATGGTATGTTTAATTAAAAATGTGCTTGAAACAATTAAACGCGCTATTCAAGAATTCAGAGAAATTAACAGTGTTATTGAACTATGTAAAGAAAGCGATCACACCTGTGATATAAAATATATATATATATATATGTATATAGATATAGGCATCATGCATGTGTAGTAGACATTTATATTACTTATTTTATCTAAAAATATTAAGTTTGCAATTTGGAAAACACACTTTACAAACAATGAGATTAATGGACTTCTATTGAGAAAAAAGTTAGTTTTTTGTATACCTAACCTTATAAATGATTTGAGAAATCTAAATTTACACTTTTTACTCCTTTTTCTCCATTAACCTGAAAGGCATACAAGGAATAAAACCCGATTGGTTCAAATCACAGTGGGTATTGAAATCGGCCAATCAATGATGCCTAACAACGTGAATAATGAGTTCATTATTCCCGTTGTTAGGCAGGGAATTTATGTTTATTTTGATTCAGGAAAAAAACTCAATATTATGCAGTAGGAGTGGATTTTTTGTTTTGTTGAAATGGCTTTTCAAACACTAATGTTTTCCCTTGTGTCCGTGATGTAACGAAAGACATTAACCATCATAAACTATCTAAGATTAAGGCACGGCCAATTCCTTTATTATGTTTTTCATCCATACGGAAAATAGTTATCTTGTTACACATAAAGCGGCGAAAGTGCACACACACACAAAGACACACACACATAATCAACAAATGCAGTCGCAAGGTCTGATTAATTTCATCCGGTGTTGAGTAAGGAAATCAAATCAAAACAGAACAAAAAAGCAAAAACAAAATAATACAGACAATGTCGCTCCGACATCGACCTAGTCCTTGAAAGTAAAAGTAATTCATAGCCAGAGCAGATTTCACGCTC